GGATGCTGAAGCAAGCAGCCAGAACTCTGATGTGCGTCATATGTATCCCAAGCAGCAGCTTAACTCAGGGTGCCACAATGTCTTCCCTCATCCCCTTTTTATTTTGTGTGCGCTGGACTTCATATGCTCGCTGAACAATCACTTTCCTCCTCTGCTGTTTGGTTTAAGCAGCTGAGCAGTCTATGTTAAGGCCCAAATAACATCATTAGCTGCTTACTGATCATTAACATATGACAGACTTTCTGCTAGCTGATTGAGATGTATTATCCCATTTGAGACTCACTACAGGAGCTAGTGTGGTGACTTGGTGGGCTTAGGCTGACACCTGTAATAGTGTCAGAAGGGTGTTATATGGGTGCTAATTCATGTTCTGGCTATTCCATTTCTAATCTGACACTCTGCTGATAGCCAGTGGGGACTGGGGGAAGGGGTGGGAGGCAGAAGCGGTGGCTGATGGCTCAATTGCTTGGGTTCCTGCCACCATGTGGGAGGCCAGATGACATTCCTGGCTCTTGGCTTCAATCTGGCTCAGTCCTGGCCAATACAGTCACTTGGGGAGTGAACCAGAAAGTGGAAGATTCTTTCTGTCTTTGTAACTCTTTTAAATAAAATAAATCTGAAGTTTCCTGAATATGTACTCATGTGTAAGTTTCCTGAATGTGTGGCTGTACCCATGTGTAAGTTTCTGGAATATATCAGGAATAAATTTTCCCGTCTGAGTCATTCCCATCCTACATTTCTCATCTGCTGAAAGTTCACAAAACAGGAAGCACGGTTAGGATTAGCTTCCACCTGCTCTAAAAAGTCAGTTTGCAAAGAAAGCTGAACCTGGTGTCTTAGGCTTTGCAGAGAGGCTTTCTTGGTTACCTGTGTGAATGAGTGACTGAGAAGCCGTATATAAGTAATACCCACCTCGAAAAATACCTGCGTGTGTGCACACGCACGACAACAAACTCAAGACGTCCTAAAGTATGAACCTGCTGCAGCAGTCAAAAATGGTCTACAAGGAAGGAGTGGCCCAGGAAGCCTTGGACTTCTGCTCTGTTTTTGCATGAAAGTATCTACCTTTTCACCAAGGGAGAAGCAGATTAACAGCCAATCAGAGGGCCAGAATGATAACCAACCAGAGGGCGTAACAAACTCAACTGCATATAATCTGAAATTTGCTAAATTTGCTAAATGTTCAGAGATATAGGATAGCAGAGGTCTGGGATAACAGCCAATCAATTAGAGGTAGAGAGAAAAACCTGTCAGAAGACTGGAATTAGTAAAACAAGCACTTGATGCATGCTTAAAGGGACTCTACCCCTTTTCTCATTCTGACAGGGACCTTACCTAACTTCCTGTTAGCTCACCTAATTCATCACCTTTCCTCCAGTCCAGAAGTATTGTCAGGAGAACGCAACACCGATGGCTCTGGCTGCTTCATGCTGAAAGGGGGTGGACCTGAGGTTTCAAGTCATGCTGTTACCATGTTTTAGACTCATACTCAATGGTTAGCCCTAGTCCTGCAAATCAATGTGCGTGTCACTTTAACTCTTTTCTAGAACAAGTTCTTGCTCCCATGTAAGCACAAAATTGCTCCCATGTAAGCGGCAGCATTTGGTATGACCATTAGGATGCAGCTTTGGATGCCTACATGAAATTTTGGAGTGCCTGAGTTCAAATCTTGGCTCGTTCCAGCTTCTTTCTAAGGGCATCCTGGCAGTCAGTAGGTGACGGCTCAAGTATCTGGGTCTGTGCCACCCATATGAGAGATCTAGATTGGGTTCTTGGCTCTTGGCATCAACCTGATACAGTATTGACTTTCATGGGCAGTTGGGAAGTGAACAGTGGATGGGGGAACATAGTTACTTTCTATCTTTCACTTTCATATTTTAAAAAAAAGTATTCTGGCAATGCTTGGAATCCTGACTTAAATTTTAGGAGGTATCTTGACTCAGTCCCTGGGTTACCAATCCAGTCACTGCCCAGTCCCTGCTTGGTCTTCCTCTCCAAGGTTCTCCCAAAAGTCCACATCCATTGGTGGGGCTTCCAACCCTGTTGTCCACCAGATGTGCTTTCGCTGTTCCCTTGTCCCCATCAGCTCCTGCGGATTAAGGGTCAGAGTCTGTGAATCATCTCCCAGGGCTGCCTCCCTCTTTTGTGCAGTTTCCCAGACCCCAGTGGGTTCTGGAAGTATCCAGCCACCAAGTTTCTGCCACAGATTGGGGGCAACATGCTGACAGATAAGGAAATAACTACCTGAGAAGTGGAGGAATTACTTCTGATCAGCTCTAAGACTTTTTTTTCTGCCATTTGCCCATGTGCCAAGGCTTTCCAGAGGCCTCACCTAGGATTGCCTAGATTCATAAGCTTTGGAGGATATCAGTTTGGGGAAGGCAGTAAAGAGGAAAGAATGGGTTATATTTGTTTTTTGGGCCTGAAAGAATGTTTAGGAAGTCCCTGGATTGGACCAGAGGGTGTCATAATCACAAAGAAAATATTCCCAGTGCTACAGGCACCTTGGCGCTCTCAGAGCAGAGCATGTGAGGTCCCCACCCAAGGTGCTGCTATTCTCAGACTGGGTACCTGGTCTCATCAGGCCCCCACCACAGCCACAAAGGTCTGTTCCCTCCTAGCACTGTTTGTTCAGCGAGGCTTTCCCATTCACAGAAAGCCACAGTTAAAAAATGTTATGATTAGAGCCACTTCCTTTGCCTTCCCCTGCAAACATTGTATGGGTCAAACATCTTTGTTTCCCAAGTTTTTCTTTTTTATATCAGGCTTTGCTTCTTTGCACATGAGACCCAGTGAGCCCATATTGATACCCAAAGTCCATGATTTACTGGGGTCTGCTCGCTGGTTAGAGTTCATTGTGTGGGTGTTGGGCAAGTGTGGATGACAACATATAATGACCCTTATGATATCAATCATAATTTCACTGCCAACTCCGAGCTATCACTACTCTGCTTATTACCTCCAGGTGGAATTGTCACGATATATATTATAGGCACGGTGCTTTTTAGACATCTTTCATTCAAGGATTCTCCTATCTTTTCATGGCTCGACAGTTCTTTTCTTCTTTTAAAATAAATGTATGAATTATTTCATTGAATGGCAGAGAAAGAAAGGAGAGAAGAGAGAAAGAGCATGTGAGAAAGGTCTTCTATTTACGGGATCTCTCCTCAAATGCCTGCAGCTTCTGGAACTCAAGTTGGATCTCACACATGGCCCCACCTAGTGGGCCGCCACCAGCTGCCTCCCAGGCTGTGCAATTCAAGGCAGCTGGGATTGAGAGCAGAGCCAGGATGAGATGTGGGTGTCCCAAACGGCAGTGTCTTCCGGGCTCTTCTGGCCTTCACCCATGACTGGCCTTCAGAATCAAAGTCTGGTAGACCGGTGCTTAGGAGGAAGTAGGCTGGCACCTGGGCTGTAACAGGCATGGGCAGACACTGGACCGCCACATCTTAGGACAGTTAAGGTGGAAGCCTCCTTTGTGCAGCTGACCTTGAGTCAAGGATTTAGGATTTTCCATTGGTTCCTGGACACTCTGCTCTTAAACATTTTTGTTTCAAAAGATTCATTCATTTATTTGAAAGGCAGAAAAAGAGAGAGAGAGAGAGAAAGAGAGAGCATTTCCATCCACTGGATCATTCTCAAATGCCCAAATGAGCCAGGTGGAAGGCAGGAGATGGAAACTCATCAGGGTCTCCTATGTGAGTGGCAGGGACCTAAGTGCTTGGACCATTTTATTTTGTTTTCCTGAGTGTTCGAGCCGGGAGCTAGAAGGGAAGACAAACAAAGAAGACTCCCCAGGACCGTCTGGCCCTTCAGCTCTGAAGCTATCTTCAACAAACTTGAAGTTAGAAGGGGCCAGGGCCCCAGGACGTACAGCTAACCCTCCGAGAGAAGCAATCTTTCTCTGCGTGGTACCAGTCTGGGGACAGACCTAGGATAAGAGTGGATTCCTGCAGGCTGACTCCATGACATAGTCTGTTATGCCTCTGCCTGCAGCAGCAGCAGCTCAAATGGGTGCCAGTTCTAGTCCTGGTTGCTCTTCTGTCATGCAGCTTCCTGTTTATGGCCTGGGGAGGCATCAGAGGATGGGTCAAGTGCTTGGGCCCCTATGCATTCATGTGGGAGACCCAGAAGAAGCTCCTAGCTTCCGGCTTTGGATTGGCTCAGCTCCGGCTTGTTGCAGCTACTTGGGATGAGAACCAGCAGATGGAAGATCTTTCTTTCTGTCTTCTTTTTTGTGTAAATCTACCTTTCCAATAAAAATAAATACATCTTTTTTTTAAAAAAAAAAGCATTTAAGGGCCCAGCGGCGTGGCCTAGTGGCTAAAATCCTCACCTTGAACACCCGGGATCCCATATGGGCGCCAGTTCTATCCCGGCGGCCCCACTTCCCATCCAGCTCCCTGCTTGTGGCCTGGGAAAATAGTCAAGGACGGCCCAAAACCTTGGGACCCTGCACCCGTGTGGGAGACCCGGAGGAGGTTCTGGGTTCCCGGCTTTGGATCGCCGCAGCACTGGCCGTTGCGTTCACTTAGGGAGTGAATCATCAGACGCAAGATCTTCCTCTCTGTCTCTCCTCTTCTCTGTATATCTGACTTTCCAATTAAAAAAAAATAAATCTTTTAAAAAAATTTAAAAAGCATTTAAGAGTCCTGCGAGTTTAATAAAGCATGAGTGCGATTAATTTTGCACAATTGAAAAATCAAACTCAATAGAAAGGGAGCTGGCAAAGCGTTTACTCAACGCGGTACTCGGCACAGACAAAGTGTAAAGAAATGAGCCGAATCGCCTTGAGCAACCCAGGGCCCACGACAGACCCGCAGACCCCCACAGCGCTAGCGCAGGCGCAGAGCCGGGCCAGTGGCGGGGCGGGAACATCTCCGGGAACCGCCCCGCTCCGCCCTGCCCCGTTCAGTTCCCGGCCTCGCCACTAGGGGCGGCCGCGGCCTGCGCAGTGGCGCCGGGCGGCGGATCTGCGCGGCCGGAGTTTCCTGCCGGGCCCCTTTTGCGGCCGGGCCCAGCATGGCTGCCCCCAGGGCTGCGGGCCGGGGACCCTCGGCGCTCTCGCTTTCCTAACAGTGCCGGCTCTCCTTGCCTTGCACGGGCCACACCAGCAGACATGTTTGCCAAGGCCTTTCGGGTCAAGTCCAACACGGCCATCAAGGGGTCGGACAGGTGAGGGAGCGAGGGCACCTGACGAGCCCACGAGGCACCTGTCCTGGGCCCTGCTGGCCCCTCTGCTCTCTCCGGGCCGGCCAGCCGCCCTGGGTCGAGGCCGAGGGGCAGCAGCCTGGGGGGCGAGCGCGGGCGCGGTGAGGGGGCCTGGACTCTCTGCCAGGCTGTTTTGGATTTTCTCTAGTCTTTAGTTTAAAGAGAATGTCATTTAATCATGACCGTGACTGTTTTAAGAGTTGTAGAAGATGCAACCGATGAAGAAATACTGCGACCCTGTGCTCCGAAATTACTTGGGAGGGCTTAGATTGGGTGGAGGGAAGGCGTTATAAGACCTAAAAGTATTAGGCAGAAAGTGGCTGCTTTCTGCAGGAGACCCAGATGGGAAGGGAGGTGCCAGGGAGTGGGCTCACAGGGTTAAGAGAACTATAACTGTTAAGACAGCATTCTACATGCAGGTACTGCCATTGAAAACCAATGACCTATACTTATCTGCTCCCTCTCCTCCCCTCTTTTTTAGATGCGTTTTAATTTGAAAGGCATAGTTACGAGAGAGAGAGATCTTCCATCCTCTGGTTTACTCCCCAAATGGCCCCAAGGGCCAGAGCTGGGCTGGTCCAAAGTCAGGAGTCAGGAGCTTCTTCTGGAGCCATCCCATGTGGGTGTAGGGGCCCAAACTCTTGGGCCATCTTTCACTGATTTCCCAGGCTCATAAGCAGGGAGCTGGCTAGGAAGTGGAACAGCTGGGACTCAAACCTGTACCCATGTGGATGCCAGCACTGCAGACCCTAAGCCATGGTGCAGCCCAGCTGTCAGTTTTTAGTGCTGTGGTGTACCCTGTAGCCGTGAGAAAGGAGTGGGGTTTGAGGACGAGGCATGAATCAGGAAGGCATCTTGCACCAGGCTAATTGGGATGTCCATTGGGCCTCTGTTTTCTCATCCATAAACTGCACCAGGAACTTGGGAAGGTAGATGGGAGAGAGAGCAGGGTGTTGAGCCAGGCAGGCTTTTTAAAGGGAGTCCTGTTTTCTCCCTGTGCTTTCTGTAGGAGGAAGCTCCGGGCAGACGTGGCGGCAGCTTTTCCTGCCTTGGGTATGGATCAGGTCTCTGAGCTGGTCCCTGGCAAGGAGGACATCAACATTGTGAAGCTGTATGCCCACAGAGGAGATGCAGTGACTGTGTACATGAGTGGTGGTAACCCCATCCTCTTTGAACTGGAGCGGAATCTGTACCCAACAGGTATGGCAGTGTGATGGAGAGGACTGGTACTTCAGTCCTGGTATTAACACCTGCCTTGCTCTGTGTCTTCCCTTCCCCTTCTTCCCAGACAGCGAAGAAGCACATTGTCTCCAAACATAGCATCCCCAATGACACCTTTGGACCTGGCCTTCCTAGTTTTGGGTCTCTCAAGACCAGAAAGCTCCATAGGAGAGAGGGAGAGGGGAGGCCAACCCAGAAACAGGCTGGGTACAGAGGGAAGTCCTTGGATGGGGGCACAATGGCTGGGGAGCTCGGGGGGGACTAAGCAGGAGTTGAGCTGATTTCAGGGCATCTCAGGATGTTTCTTAGAACCTCCACAGTAGGATTTCCATAAGATACTCACAGTAGTTTCTGAGATAGAACAAATGGTGCCCATAGGCAGCGGACTTGGTGATGCGGTTCAGTGGAGGTCTGAGGCTCTGACTGCAGTGTTGCTACCTTTAGGCTGTGCCTTCCTCCACTTCTCCCTCTCGATTCCTGTGCCAGTGCTGAAGACAGACATGGATGCCTCTTGATCTAAACACTTTGGATATGTAGGAACAGGCTGGCTCCCTGTTCGTCAGTGATTTCTGAAGTCACACCTAGGCGCCTTATTAGCTGTCTGCTGCCCCCACTTTCTTCCACAGTGGCCTTTTCCTCTGGTTGCGTTCCAGGAGGAGAATGGGCCCCTCGCAGACTCAAGGGTTGCTCAGTTTCTTAGCTCTGTTCTTCTTGAGAGTGTCACCTCTTGAGCATCACCCCCACAAGCTTCTCTCTGGCTTTGAGTTTCTCTTCTGCATTCCAATTGCAGCGGCCATTGTGTCAGGCTTTGCCAGTTCCCTGGCAGATTGACTTTTCGGTGAAGAGTTTTCTGGGTCTGTTTGCACAGTGTACACGCTCTGGTCCCATCCCGATCTCCTGCCGACCTTCACAACATGGCCTCCAGTGCTGGAAAAACTGGCGGGGGGAGCAGGTAAGAGAACTGAGACCTACTTAGGGAGAGGTGTTTTTTTCTTTTCCCCAAGTTTATTTATTTATTTGAAAGACAGAGTTAAAGTAAGCACTCTTCATCCACCGGCCCACTCCCCTGCAAACAGCTTGGGAGCCAGGATCCATTTCCAGGCCTCTCACAGGGGTACAGGGGCCCAAGTATCTGGGTCATCCTCCGCTGCTCTCAAGCACACCAGCAGGAAGATGATTTGAAGTGGGGCAGCCAGGGCTCAAAGTGGCACCAATGTGGATGCTAGAATTACAGGTGGATGGCTTTACGTATCATGCCATTGCACCAGCGATTCGAGAGTTTCTGGGTTCCATTGGTTGAAAGATAGCCTCCCCTCGTCTGTGTATCACACTTCTCATGGGCTCTCTGAGGCTCCCTGACCCTGTTGTAAGGCTCAAAGAATGTGAGTGATGTGAGAGAATTCTGAGTGGCTATATGTACCTCAGGACCAACAAGCTGAGTTCAGGGAACCAGTTCAGGCTGGAACCTGCCATGAAACACCTGGCCTGCAAAGGGCGGTCTAATACATTATCCTCTTCAGTTTCCATGGTGAATAACAGAATTGCTCCTTAATAAGTGTTTGTCCAGAGGATGAGAGGAATTAGCATGAAATTCAATGCATGCCAAACTAAGTAATGATGCTTCCTTTTGCTGCAGATCTGATGCTGCCGGGACTCGTGGTGCCCCCTGCTGGTCTGCCTCAGGTACAGAAGGGCGACCTCTGTGCCATTGCCTTGGTGGGGAACAGGTACTGTGCCTTGACCTGGAAAAGCTTAGGTGAAAGGGGAGGTGAGGGGAAAGACAGCTTCCAAAACACCTGGGCCAAGAGTTCCTCTGATGGAGCAGAGGGCACACCTGCTGTGGAGCAGCCACAGGTCTGCCGATGCCCGCGTGCCTGGGCTGGGGGTGTTTGCTGCTGTGGCTCTTCTGTTTTTTGTTTGTTTTGGGGTTTTTATTTTGTTTTGTTTTTTGCCGACTTTTAAATAACTAGGCTTACGGAAGGATTTCCGGGTAGCATAGCATTCTGAGACTCCTTACACAGCTCTCTAATGGAGCCGCTTCTGTACCTGCAGTGTAGTCACGGGTAAGCAATGAGGACTGGTACGATATCGTTAGCTAAGTTCCAGGCTTTCTAGAATTTCTCATTTGTTCTACTAGTGTCTTCTGTCCGGTGGACTGAGCCAGGATACTCTCTTGCTTTAGATGTTACGTCCCTTGTCTCCTGCCTGTGTCTTTATTTTGGTCTTTGCTTGTCTTTCAGTATCTTCACAGCTTTTTCTCAGTCTTCACATCAACATTCCTAACTTCTAAGTACTTTGACTGATATGCAGTTTGGTCTCAACAAATTCACTGATTCAAAGACTCTCAGTATGTTTACAGTCGTTCAGCCAACCCCTCACTGCTTCCTTTTTCACATAAATCAAAAAGTTGTTATATGAACAGTTCTGAGAAATCCAAAATTCCCTGACCCCACAGTCCTTTTCTTCTAGAAGTAGCTGTTACCATTTCCTGTTAATCCTTGCTGCCTCTCTATAGTCCAACTATATGAAAGCAGTTAAAGTGATATGATTTAAAGATTGTGTATTTATGTGAAAGGCAGAGTCAGAGAGACTGAGAGATATTCCACCTACTACTCCACCACCCTGATGACTACAAGGGCTAGGCCTACACCGGGCTGAGGCCTGGAACCTGAAACTCCACCTGCATCTCTAGGGGCCCAGGTACTTGGGGAATCTCCTGCTGCTTACCCAGCTACGTGAGCAGGGAGCTGCATCGGAAGTGCAGCAACAGGGGCTTGAACCGGCACTCCTATGGGATGCTGGCTTCACAGGCAGCGGCTTAACCAGCTGTGCCACAACATTGGCACCAGTGGATTGCTTCTCCATCTGGTGTGGTGTGGACGTTTTCCTGGTCAGCACACACAGCTGCGGAGTGTTGGAGGGAGTCCTCCCCGTTGGGTGTTTAGACACATGGCCCCCATGCGTCTCTATGACAGTCTCCTCGATGCCGCTGTAGAGTAGATGTGGAAAAGCAGCACTGTTAACTTGAAGATGATGCCTGTTTGCTGTTTGTTCACCAAAAGGCTGTATTTGCTTTTGCTCCTACTCACAGCACATTTGGAACCTACTTCCCTACATTGTGGCCAGCACTGAGTATGGGTCGTTTTCATTTGTGTTGCCCTACTGAGTGATAAGTGAATATTATCACTATTTTCAGGATTTCTGTTGCTTTTTCAAATCGACAGCAGAGAAAGATCTTTCATCTTCTAGTCCGTCAAATGCCTGCCATAGCCAGGGCTGAGTGAGGCTGAAGCCAGGAACCCAGAACTCAATCCAGGCCTCCCACCGAGAGGGCAAGGACCACTTCCAGTCCATCACCTGCTGCCTCCCAGGGTGTGTGTTAGCAGATACCTGGAGTCCCAAGCAAGACCAGGACTGCGGATCCAGACGCTATGCTATGGGATGTGGGTGCTGACCACCGCACCAGAGGCCCACCTTTCAGTTTATTAATAGTCACCTTTTTCAGAAAGGCCTGAAAGGCTTTACCTTTCTATGGTGACTGACTAGTAGACCCAGTAAGTGGAGCCACGAAATTTAGTGAAAAAGTTGAAGTTTAGGCCTTAGGGACTACGTCCACTGGATGCAAGCTACTGGAGCAGTCATGTACAGTTCCTCATTGTCCACTCTGGTCACCTTCCTCAAGGCACTATGCAGCCAATTCATGTGTCGCTCTGGGTTCATGGAGAGTTTTTCTCTGGGCTTTGGGAGTTTTTGTATCACTATGAATGTGGTTATTTCTGACATCTTGAAAACACCCAGACATATAGTTTCCCAGAGCAAGCCTTGTTACAAAAGAAGTGGGGGCACAGAGGCTAGTCTTCCACCCTGTAGTGCCAATATCCTATTGGGTGCCGGTTTGTGTCCTAGCTGCTTCACTTCTGATCCAGCTCCCTGCTGACCCTGGGAAAGCAGCTCCTGCTAATGTAGACTGAGGGAGGCAGCAGGCGATAGCTCAAGTTCCTGAGTTCCTGCCACTCGGGCAGGGAGACCTGGATAGAAATCCAGGCTCCTGGCTTTAGGCTGGCTGGGCCCTGGCTGTTGCAAGCATCTGGGGGGTGAACAGGGGCTGTAAGATCCCTCTTGGTTTGTCTGTCTCTGTATGCCTTTCACAGAGTAAATTGAAAGGTTTTTTTTAATTGTTGTTGTTGTTTTTAAAGAAAAGAGACTTTAACTGTCCTTCCACATTTAATTCATACTAAGAATGAGCCAGAGGCAGTGGTAATATCAGTACAGGGTCTGTACAGAGGGTGGGGTTTGCTCCAGGAATTTTTGAAAGTGGGAATTTGAAGGGGAATTTGAAGGAAGTTGAGACTGACCCGAGTTTAGTTTTGTAGTGCAAGTGGAAGTTTTGAGCTGGGACTGTCATGCTTCTCTTGGGAGATCCTGATGCATGCTCTGTGGGAGTCTTCCACTGACCCCTCTCTCTGGCCCTCCTCTTCTCAGAGCCCCTGTAGCCATCGGAGTAGCAGCCATGTCCACAGCTGACATGCTGACGTCAGGCCTGAAGGGCAGGGGTTTCTCTGTGCTCCACACCTACCAGGACCACCTGTGGTAAGTACAGGGGGTGGGGTGGGCGGAGAGAGCAGGGGCCTGGGTTCAGAAAGCCTTAGTCCCCGCTGTGTCCTCAGGCAGATCGCCATCTTGAGTTTGGCTTCTTTGCCAGCCGAGGAAAGGAGAGTTTTCTTCCTATTTAGATAAGAGGTTAGACATTTATTTTCAGGGTGGATGATAGCACCCCAGACCTGGAAGAAACCTTAAGAGACTGGCTCACCTCTGCCCACCCCATAGTAACGTTGGCTTGTGTTGGTTTTGCTGGTCAGTCTGGCCTTCTCTGCCACGCCCTTTTTAGGCATCATCTGGCTTCATAACAGGTGCCTTGGGGTCCAAATGCAAGCAGGTCAGATCCATGGGCTCCAGGATGAAAATCTGCTCACTCATTCAGGTTCCACTTCCGGTTTCCCCCTCGTTATAGAAGTAACATGTGCTGACTAACATGTAGCTGTTACTTTTAGGGCCATGTCCTGGTTCTTAATCTGGTCGTTTGATCATTTTACCAGGGCAGTGAACAGCAATGCCCCTTGCCTTTTAGGGAGGGCTGAGGTGGCGTGGTACAGACTCCTCCTTACACGTTCCGGCCCAGCCTTAGAGCTGTTCATTTGCTGAGGGTTGACCAAGTCTTACTTTGCTGGGTGTGCAGCTCATTAGCTTACTTGTCCAGCAGGGTTTCTGGGCTATTGATCTACATTCTCCTGGCACCTTGCTTTCTAACCCTCTGGGTAACAGTGATCAAGTTCAAGTTGTCTAATTTTTTTTCTTTTTTTCAGTAGCTGCTTCAATCTCCATTCTCTCTCCCTCTCTCTCTCTTTTTTTAATGTAACTATGGTATTTACCTGATGGTAGAATTTAGTTTGCTGTTAACAACACTAGCAGGGCTTACAGAGAGAAAGATCTTCCATCTGCTGGTTTACTCTCTAAATGATTGCAACAGCCAGAGCTGAGCCAATCTGAAACCAGGTGCCAGAAGCTTCCTTCCGGGTCTCCCATGCGGGTACAGGGTCTCAAGGTTTTGGGTCATCCTAGACTGCTTTCCCAGGCCATAAGCAGGGAGCTGGATGGGAAGTGGAGTATCCAGGCCACCAACCAGTGCCCATAGGGGATGTGTGGGAAGGATTAACCAATCGATCCATTGCACCAGGTCCTAAAAGCCCTTTACACTGACGTTACAGTGTGCTTGCTGCACCAGGCAGGGCTCTGTCTTCGCAGCTGCATGCGGTGCAGGTGTTTGTATTTGGCCATCTGTTCTGGGCCTCAGGTTGTTGCTGGGGCTGCAGCAGCACACCAGGGCTGCAGCTGCGTTTGCCATCTCGGTTTTGCTCCTGGTTCCAGATGGCTTTGTTATTTTTAACTTGTCCGGAGAGGAGCTTTAGAGCCCCGGACTTAATTGCTTTTCCTTCATCTTTCCCTGTCTCAGAATGTCTGTTGATAATACTTACATTATTTGGGTTGGGGAGAGGAAAGAACGATTCTCCCCATGTCAGAGGGGAGGAAACTGAGGCACAGAACTCTTCTGGGTTCAGGGTTGGAAGTGGGATTGACGATGCCCAGGCTCCCTGCTCTCTTGTTCCCTCACAGATGCCCCTGCCAGGGGTTACCGCTTGCTGTGAGCCCCTGGCTGACCCCGTGCCTGGGCAAGGGCTTGGGCTGCGGCCTGGGGTTTCTGACCTGAGATTCTTGCAGGCGATCCGGGGTCAAATCAGCTCCACCTTCCCTGTCACCCATGGTGCCGGATCCCACGGGTATCAGGGAGGACAAGGCGTCTACACAGGAGCCCGTGCCGCTGGAAGACATGAGGCACCTGGCGCTGGGAGAGGAAGAGGGGAGTGGGGAGGTGCCTCACGAGTGTGGGGACATGTCTGCGCCAGAAGCCAACAGCGCTGGAGGCCTGGAGCAGGATCCCACAGACAGCAGGACACTGCAAGGTACAGCTCCGGGGGGGCGGGGGGACAGGGCTAGGAGACAGACGCGCCCCCTCCCTTGGGACCAGAGTGGTGCTGAAGGGAGTGTTGAAACCCTGGGACCTGTTGCCTGGAGTCCTTGCTGTGTATGCCCTGTGTCCTGGTGCCAGTCTGCCCCAGCTCCTGAGCCCTCCAGGGTTTCTTTGGATCCCCCCTGGCTCAGTGGGATGTGCAGGCTGAGCCCTTGTCTGAGGCTGTGAGCCCCAGAAGGGGAGCCCAGAGGCTGAGGTGAGGGTGGAGCTGGGCCCCGTGGGCCTCCGGCCTCCCTCCCGAAGGAGGTTGTGTGGTCTTTGCCTGGCAGAGCAAATGGATGAGCTGCTGCAGCGATGCTTCCTGCACGCCTTGAAGTGCCGCGTCCAGAAGGCCGACCTCCCACTCCTCAGCAGCACGCTGCTCGGCAGCCACATGTTCTCCTGCTGGTATGGTGGCTCCCGCCCGTTCCCAGGCGCTGGGACCCAGCGGGGCCGAGGGGTGTGTGGGGGTGCCAGGAAGGGTGGAAGGGTGGTAAGTGAGCAAGGTACTGGGTTTTATGCACTTAGGTTTCAGCCAGTGAGAGGAGGTGGAGGAAGTGGAAAGTTCAGATTTGCCCCCTTTCAACTCCCGTGTTCTCTGCCATGGCCCCTCTGGGAGGCAGGGGGGGCGGTTTCCTGAGCTGTCTAAGATTAAGCGAGTGATCTGGAAGAGTCCCAGGATGGCCTCTTGTCAGGGGTCTCCTTCTGGAATGGTCAGTCCCTTCACATTTGCGGAAAATACAAGGCCATGTCAGATGGTGTCAGAAGGAAGTGATGTGGGAACCTCCTCCATCTCCCCTCCCCCAAAACACAAGCCAGGAGGAGGGGTGTGCCCACCCAGCACAGGGGGAGGGGCTTTGAGGGCGGAGCTTGAGGGGTCTGAGGGGTGCAGGGCTCCTGCCAGGCTTCTCTGAGCCACTTGCGGCGCTGTCCGGATTGATGGCAAGAGGAGGTGGCCTCTGACAGCTGATAAGCACTCGATAAATGCTGTTGTGTCAGTTATGGAGTTTATCCTAAGACTGGATTTCTTTTTTAGGGGGGAATCTTGCTCTGTTTTTTTAAGTGGCTCGCAGTGTCTGCCTGTCACATATGAGCTGCTTCAAGGTGTCCTACACCAGGGAGGCTGAGGAATTTGTCGTGACCTTGCTGGGTTGTCAGGACTGGGGAGAGGAGGTAGGGGGTGCTGGGGTGTTCTGCAGTATAAAGTCTTCATCCGCAGTGGTGCTTTCTTCCGGAGGGTTATCCAAGCATCTTGCTGCTGTTGAATGTCACATTGTGAGAAAAGAGAGGTTCTGGGGAGAGGAGAGAGGGCACAGCTCTTATCTGGAAGCTCCCTCCAAAGCTAATGTCGCTGGGATAAGAGGCAGCAGACGTGTTGTGGAGGGGCCCGGGATCAGGCCAGGGCACACACAGCTGTGGGACACCACTGTGGCGTCCGCGTGGCGGTGGAGAGTGGATAGGTGATGGTTGGCCACAAGGTGGCGCTTGCTGACCCTGCAGAAGCCAGGCGGCCCAGGCTGTGGGTTTGACGTTGGGAAGGTCCCTTTGAGGGGTGGAGTTCTGCCGTTCCAGAGGAATCTAAAGCTCTAGCCAGGATCGTAGCTCTTTTATTCTAAATTTAAGTGAATTTAAAGTAAATAAGGGTAGAAATTTAGTTCCTCAGCCACCTGAGTCACATTTCAAGTACTTAGTTGTCATACAGGTGGCTCCCATGCGGACAGCACAGAAGTGGGTGGGCTGCCATCCTGGGAAGTTCTTTTGGACAGCCCTGGCTGATGCCGCACCTGGACAGAGAGTTCTGGAACCGCGACCTCTGTGGGGAGGGGACGTGGGGAGGAAGGCTGAGGGGAAAAGGCTGTCCTTCTCAGTGTCAGTTCACTTAACTTGCCTTTTCTCCATTTGCTGCCAGCCCAGAGGGACGCCAGCTGGACATAAAGAAGTCAAGTTACAAGAAGGTAAACAGCAGGCACCTGCTTTGCATTCTACACGAAGAGCCCCGTGGGGCACACAGGACCCTGGGGAGGCCCTGGATGGGTAGTCCCACTCGCTCTCCCCTTTGAACCTCCCAGCTTAGCGTCCAGCAGGCTGGTTGGGGCTGCGCAGGTCTTGGGGTGATGGGGGGAGGGCTGGCCTCTCATCCCTCCACAGGTGCTGCCTGCTAGGTCCGGCCCGGCTGAGGTGCTGTGTTGGGGAGCCTAGGAAGATGCTGTCACTGGTCCTCTCTCCTTAGCTTTCCAAGTTCCTGCAGCACATGCAGCAGGAACAGATCATACAGGTGAAGGAACTCAGCAAAGGGGTGGAGAGCTTGGTGGCTGTGGACTGGAAACACCCAAGGTGAGTGCCCGCGGCCCACTGGCCGTGGCTCAGCTGGCCCTGGGCATCTGGGACCCGGAGCGGGGACCGCCAGGACGCTAGTGCAAAGTGTGTTTTCTTTCCCTCCACTGGGTTTTAGGATCACATCTTTCGTCATACCCGAGTCCTCCCTGACCTCTCAGACTGTCCACGAGGGTAGCGGGGAACAGCCCTATCAACCTCCGGACATAAAACCCCTCTACTGTGTCCCAGCTGGCATGACCCCGCTCTTCCAGGAGTCTGGCCACAAGTGAGTGTGGGGGCGGCAGCCCTGCTCTGCCTGCTGGGGTCCCAGCCTCCTCTGCCCCTGAGCCTGAATGATGTGCTGATGTGCTCTGCCCCATCTCCCTTTGCTCCAGCTTCAAGCCTCCTTCTCTGTGCTAGTTTCCTGGACAAGGTGAATGAGAGAATATGTGTCCCTTTGCTGCCGACATGCAGGAGGCCTAACCTCAGTCAGGGGGAAGGGAAGAAAGCAGTCGAGAGCCAAGGTAGACACCTTGCTGAGCAAGGCTTGAGGCTGGCACAGACTGAATGACCCCTCTGGTCCTCCCGTTCTAGGAAGGGGAGCCTTCTCGAAGGCAGCGAGGTCCGAGCTGTCATCATTGACTACGCCAAGAGAAACGACTTGGTTGACACAGACAACAAAAAGTGAGTGGGGAGGCAGGGAGCCACGTCTGCCTGGTTCAATTTTCACTCTCTGGGGTGGATTGTAGCAGCCATGGCATCTCTGAAATCATCCCGAGAGCTGGCTTCCAGGCAGTTCCTGCTCAGGCTGCCTGGCACCTGCCACACTTTGGCGTTGGCTAAGGCCCCCGCTGATACCCATGTACACGGGGCACAGTGAGGGGTGGGATGGAGACCTCACACACAATTTACCCAAGTCATCAGAGCTTTCCGCTATTTACTTAGTTGGTAAAGGACCAACTGAACAGAGTTCTGTTCATTTTTTTTCTTACTTTAAAAAGACATCTTGAGTAAAAGGCCTAATCTAACCCACATTTTAAGGAGCTCCGCTTCCTGTCTTTGTTCCTAGCCAGGCACCTGTGAAGCTCAGTCAGAGCCTCGGTCCCCAGGTTAGCTTCAGAGTGGAGACAGGCCTCTTGGTCCTGGGAGTTGTCCCATCTGTCCTCCCCTCTACCACCTGCCTCTCCCCCTGGGGAAGGCTGGAGTGTCCCACGCTCAGGGTACATTGCCTGGTGGACCAGGGTCCTTGGTTGAGGCTGCCCTTGCATGAGTGCTGAGGGCAGGTCAGGGCGAGTCGCGAGGTGGCTGAGTCTGAGATTTCCTTCTTGCTTCATCCTCTAGTCTTGTGCAGTTGGATCCCACCCTGTGTGACTGTCTGCTGGAGAAAAACGAGCGGCACAGCATCCTGAAGCTGCCGTGGGACGGCCTGGTGAGCAGGTGAGCAGAGCTGACTGTGCCTCTCCACGACCCCACCCAGCCCTTCGTCTCTGTCACATGGAGCTGCAAAACTGTCACTTTTCCAGTTTCTGGCTTTTGTGTCTATTCATACAATAGCAGTCTGTATAAGCACAGGCTTGAGTAATGATGGCAGGGTGACTTGAACCATTTGAGCAAATACCATATAGTAGAACTTGAGAGGAAGAAAGAAAATGAATATTACTGAAAATAAAAACTGCAAGCAGATATAGAAGCAGAAAAAGACTGGGAAGAATTATTCTAAAGTCACCAAAGGAAAGACTTAGTTTTATTGGAAAGTCAGCTATATAGAGAGGAAGATCTTCTGTCCAATGATTCACTCCCCAAGTGGCTGCAACAGCCAGAGCTGAGCCCATCCATAGCCAGAAGCCTCTTCCAGGTCACCTGCACACAGGTGCAGGGTCCCAAGGCTTTGGGCCATCCTTGACTGCTTTCCCAGGCCACAAGCAGGGAGCTGGATGGGAAGCAGGGCTGCCGGGATTAGAACTGGTGCCCATATGGGATCCCAGTTCATAAAAGGCAAGGACCTGAGCTACTAGGCTACCATGCCGGGCCCAGGAAAGACTTTTTGTCCACAACACAGCTGACTATTGCCCATTGGCTAAATCGGACCTACCACCTGTTCCTGTAAATAAAGTTTTATTACACTACAGCTATTCCCATTTGTATGTTGATGGTATACTACTTTTGTGCTAGAGTAATGTCAAGATGGAGAAGCAGCAACACTGACCACGTGGTCCACAGAATCTAAGATATTTACCATTTGGATCTTTACTGAGAAAGTTTGTCAGTCCTGTAGTATATGCCAGGAAGAGAACATCTGGTTAGGCACAGGTAGAAATCCCTGTGTGAGAGGTGTTCTGTAAAAGATGTGCCCTGTCCCTTTGCGGAGTGTGTGGCAGCACTTGGGGGCAGTCAGCCCGTAAGGAGCATGGGAGGACAGAGCACATTTTCAGAAGGCCAGGCCCATGGACAGTCACAGCCGCCCCTTCCCTGAGAATGCCTCTTGCCACAGGCCACACTGTAACGGCTCCGAGAGACACACAGGCCTGGCCCGATGCTGAGTTACTTGGCAGCCCGTGGACCCCGCCTGCAGGGGCGGTGTAGGCCCAGCCGCCTGCTGGCCGTTAGCTTAGTCACCTCACAACCCTAAACCCGCCCGTTCCAGATGTTTGGAGAAACTGCAGCCTGCCTATCAAGTGACCTTTCCTGGACAAGAGCCCATCGTGAAGAAGGGGAAAATCAGCCCCATTGACATCACCCTAGCACAGAGGGCCTCTAATAAAAAGGTAACTTAAAGTCACGATGTGTGATCCACAGCAGGTTTCTAAGAAGTTAGACACAATGTTTAAGGATGGTGATGAGTGACAAGTTAACAATGTGGTCGCTGCTAAGTCCCACTCTCCCTAAGTGACTGGAGGCTCTCAGATTGGCTCCAAACCCCTCCAAGATGACTCAGAAGTGCCCTACTTGTGCTGGGCCAAGCCCGGTGTAAGACAGATGGCGCTGGCCCTCCCTGCTCGGTGCCCTCTTGGATTTTGTGCTAGGAAATTTGCAAGGACCTGGTCCCAAACGTAGACAAGATTTTATTTTTACTTATTTCTCATAGTACTCCTTCACAGACTTTCAGCTCTGCTACATTCTGTTCTGAAAATCACTTGTACAAAAATGTGGCTGGAGAAGCCAAGCATGGTTAGCTTGGCAACACAGAGTCATCGGAAACAGTTGACCTGTGTCCTCAGCTGTGTGCAGGGTTATCCCCTGGAAAAGCAGTGTGTTTACTTGGCCTGCCCTAGAAGACAGAAATAGGTTATTGGGAGGAAAGTCCAGCCAGCCAGACTTGGTTCAGAATAGAGAACTTTCTAGGAGTTTGTGTGCACAAGTTCTGGAACCCGGCCTGGGCTCACAGGCAGCTCTTTGACCCAGGGCAGACTGCTCCTCCCCTGAGTTTCCTTATGGGTGGTCCCGATCATGGGAAGACATAGCAAGGATCAAAAGAAGGAGGATGTGTGGGTGGGGCACTTAGAATAATACATGGCACACGCAACGGTCAGTGATGGGAGCCACCATGGCAACCGTGTCCACACTGGCTCTGGCCTCTACCTTCTAATGTGCCAGACAGACATTTGATAACAGTAATGATTAATGATTAATAGTTAATAGTAAAAATTGTCCAGAATTGAAATTGGTAGTTCATAAAATAGTGATTTATTTCCTAGAGGTCTTAAAGATTAGGCATCACCAGCAGGGAGAAGATGTGGTTGGGGGTACATGTGTCATGTCAGGAGCTGGACTAAGCTGCCAAGGTCAAGTTGTAGAGAATATTATTTTTTTAAGATTTATTTTCCTTTGAAAGGCAGATTTTACAGAGAGAGAAGGAGACATAGAGGTCTTCGATCTGCTGGTTCACTCCCCAGTTGACTGCAATGGCCAGAGCTGAGCTGGTATGAAGCCAGGAGCCAGGTGTCCCAAGGACTTGATCGGGCCACCCTCTGCTGCTTTCCCAGGCCACAAGCAAAGAGTGGGATAGGAAGTGGAACAGCCGGAACGTGAGCAGCACCTCGCTGTTCCGGCGCCTCTGTGGGATCCTGGCGCGCTCAAGGCGAGGACTTTAGCCGCTAGGCCATGCCACCAGGCCCAGCAACATTTCTTTAATTTTTAAATTTTAGTTTTATTTGGAAGGCAGAGAGAGAAAGACATTCAGAGATCTTCCTTCTGTTGGTTCGATCCGCACATGCCTGCACAGCCAGGGCTGGACCAGGCTCGAACCAGGAGCCCAGCACTCAGTCTGAGGCACCCAGGTGGCAGGGAGCCAAGTCCTTGGGCCACCACCTGCCGCCACACATTAGCAGGAAGCCGATGTAAGTGGAGCTAGGATCAGAGCCCCAGTACTCTAAGACGAGGGTGTCATGAACAGTGACTTAATCACTGCATCAGAGACATGCACTGTGGTTTTTGTTTTAATCTCAAAGTTCTATGGAAAAGCTGGCTTCACCTGTGTTATTGATCGGATGTTTGATATTAGGGATTATTGCTCATGTACTTGTAGTTGTGCTGATTTTTTCGTTTTTATGGAAGAAATGCCTTTATCTTTTGGAGCTATATTTTGAAATGCTTACAGTGGACAAACTGATCCATTGTCGGGGAGGATTTGCTTTTGCATTAAAGGAATCTGAGATTGGGGGGTGAATGGGGACATAGGTTAGTCAAGGTTGTTTAAACGGGACTAGTGTTTGGGGTCATTATGCGGTTCCTTTGTTCATGCTTTAGGCTATTATATATAGGATAGTGACTCTACCCTACTAAATATAAAACACATCCATTGGATAGAGTAGAGAGAATCAATTGAGAAACACCAAAGTAAGTTATTTGGATACAAAGAAGTCATAGTTATGGGGGTGGTGACCCATGAGAGCACCGGTGAGGGGGCCAATGGGGCTCCAGGTGGCCTTCTGGCTGGGCAGTACCCAGCTTCAGTATCTGTCCCTGCTGTCCCTCAGGTGACCGTGGTCCGGAACTTGGAGGCCTATGGGCTGGACCCTTACTCTGTGGCTTCCACCCTCCAGCAGCGCTGCCAGGCAAGCACCACCATCACTCCTGCCCCTGGTGCCAAGGACAGTCTGCAGGTGCAGATCCAGGGCAACCAGGTTCACCACCTGGGCCGGCTGTTGCTCGGTGAGTATCCCCTCCTGCTTGGAGGACGTCTCCCTGCTGACTCAGCTAGGTCTCATCATCTTGACACCCATACAGACGCCCCCTGGCTTAGGATGGCTTAATTCAGGAGCTTCCAGCTTCGTGATTGAAAAGTGATATTTGTTAGCAAGTGTGCTTCACAGTTTAAACTGTGCTCTTTCCCTGGACTGACAAGAAGGGGGTCAGCCCTCATGATGTCAGACAGTGGTGGTAGCAACCCGAGGTTGTAGGGAGCAGTAGTGACGCTTGACCATGTGCTGGTTGCTAAACACACATGGAGAATTAGGTGGCTTCGGTGCAGTCTCGACTGGTAATGGGTTTATCAGTCTGTAAACTGCACGTCAGGGAGCATCTGTGTATACTCCCCTGCACACACACATGCTCTTGAGGAAGTAGCACGCACCAGCTCTGCGTGTGGACACTCCAGCCTCAGCCATGGGGAGCTGGGTGCGGTGGAGCAGGTCACAGGAGGGCCCTTGTATGGGAGGAATGAGCCGCCCCTCTCAGGCTGAGAAGGGCGAGCAGCATGGGGTCGAGGTCAGGGCCAGGAGCACTGGCATAGGATGGGGTGGGGTGGCAGGGCTGTCAGGGAGCCAGCTCGCGCCACACTCAGGGGTTTCTGCTGTTCGGATTGCAGAAGAGTACCACCTCCCTCGAAAGCACATCCAGGGCCTGGAGAAGGCCCCCAAGGCCGGCAAGAGAAAGTGACGCCTGTTCCATGTGGTGGGTCCAGTGGCTTCCAACTCGGGGCTGGTCATTTCTATGAGCATTTTCAACTTTTACAAATCAGAAATATAATTGTTTACTGAAATAAATTTTTATTCTGATCTAAATCTGATTTCTCTTGTTTCTCCCACTTAAATGAAATGGGACTAGCTTAATGAAAAGTATTTGAAAGGGACAGGATGCACTCTGTGTATGTGTATGTCCTTTTTTCCATTCCTGCGGTGGTCTGCCCACCCCCACCACCCCCATCCCTGTTTCCCACACAAGGCAGCCCACTGTAAGGCTGACACCTTCCTGTGTGTGAAGCCCTTCCCTCCACCCAGCGCTCCACAGCCTGCTGTTCCCTGATGAACCTCCAACCTCCAGCCTGTCCCTTCCCGTCTCTAACGCGTCAGCCTAGCAGACAGCAGAGCCCCACATTGTCATCTCAACGACAACAGAAGAAAGAATGGGCCCTAAGCTGTCCCAGACTTCTGCGAGACAGAAAGAAGGGACAATAAAAGCGCTTGGGGACAGAGTTCTACATGACAGTGATTCTTAGCAACTTGGCCCAGTGCCACCGAACGAGACAGGGTGTGACTCCCGGGCTGTGGCTCGGCTGCAGGGGAGGGGCCTGTCCAGTGCGTGCCATCTTCGGTCCCAGCTTCTGAACCGGGGACTGTAGGTAATCTTCAGGGGACCCGGAACTCCCTGAAATGGAGCTTGAGATTTTTTATGATCATTCTCCAAGAGAGGGTTGATCCTCTGTCCCACTCCCCAAGGCTTTCTGTGGTGTCAGAATGGTTCAGAACTGTCACTGTGCCCCGTGCCTGGGCCATGGAGATCGCTGCTGTGACCACAGCCTGCCTTACCTTGTATGGGAGGAGCCAAGCTAGTCAATGTGCTCACATTTTACCATCAGGAAATTATTCCACCTTGCGAGGCTTCCTTTTCTTGTTCTCGTCTCACTGTTATAAAGACTAAGAAAGGCTTGAAGATGTCCCCTGTGACCAGCCATCTGAGTCTTGGGAAGCAAGGAAGAAAAGGGTGTGAGCATGTGTGTGTGTGTGTGTGTGTGGCTCCTCCCACCTTTTGTTTTCGGATCCAGGACATGCCTTGCACTGGTGAGTATATTCCATTGCACTGGCAGCAGCTTTTGGAGCTGGGGAGGGGTTTCTAGAACTTGTCCCCAACGGAGTCCTAAGACAGCAAAACCTTCAGACAGCACGGTTTGACCTCAGGGAGTCTGACACATGTAGTAGCACTGTGATCCAGGTTCTGTCGCTGTAACAGAGTACTAAAGACTGGGTAATAAAGACTAGGAGTGTATTTGGCTCACAGCCCTGGAGGTCCAGGACATGGTGTCTATCAGGGTGTGTGTGGGCCTTATTTGCTGCTGCGTCATCATGAAGCCATCACGCAGGTGAGATGGAGGGAGCCGGTCAGCTTGAGTCGCCTCTTCTACTGCTGATCCCATCCCAGCAGCCTACGCTATGCTGTGAAGCTGGGGGAGGTTGTGCCCACTGCATGAACTGCTGGGGACACATTCAAACCAGAGTAAGTGGTAAGGAAAAAGTTGTGTGAGGACTACGAATGACAGGAAGTACCATATGGAGGTCCTTCTCGCACAGCCTGGGAGGACTGGGAAGCTTGTCTTGTTCATCCTTGCTGAAGAGGCCAAGTGCTAGGGCTGGCTGTCGAAGGAACATCTACTGTTATTTTTTAAAATATTTGTTTTTATTGGAAAGTCATCTACAGAGAGGAAGATCTTCCATCCATTGATTCCCTCCCCAAGTGACCACAGCAGTCAGAACTGAGCTTCTGGGTCTCCCATGTGGGTGCAGGGTCCCAACACTTTGGGCCGTCCTCGGCTACTTTCCCAGGCCACAAGCAGGGAGCTGGATGGGGAGCAGGGCTGCAGGGACACAAACCGGTGCCCATATGAGATCCCAACACGCTCAAAGCAAACACTAGCCACCAGGTTACCGCGCCAGGCCCGGAACACCTACTCTTAACCAGTTTCTCCCAGACCTAGGCCAGGACACCGAGCTCCCTCTAGATCTGCACTTGGTCTGGCTTCCCCTGCGTTGAATCATCGTCCCTCTTGCTACATGAATAGCATGGGTGTGGGAGGGTAAGACTGGCATTGTATGTGCTGAGCCCCATAGATCAACAATAAGGCCAAACTTACGAGTTTGCACTTAACAAGCATTTTCCCACTATGTTGTGGGAAATGAAATTCGTTATTTTGGTGCAAAAAGTTTAAATCTGTGCCCAGTTCTTTCACAATGCAGTTCCACTCCATAACCAAATGAGTTGCAGTGAAAAAGCAGAAACTTCCTCCATCCCAGGTACCTGCAGCATCACTGAAAAACTTAACTTTTGTGGGATGTTCCAGATGGGCCCTGAGGATGTCTGTTGGGCTGGAGTTCTTCCTAGAGAAAGTGGCTGAACTGGATGAGCTCTGGGCAGCCCAGTAGCCCCAGGACCCTGCACATTGTGCAGTATGCGATTGGCATTGTGGGGCAGACACGGTTTCTTCTTGGGAATTCTTGCGTGGTAGAGTTGCTGGGATGTGCCTTGGGGGGAGTCAGAGAGCGACCTCGTGCAGGGACCTCCAGTCATGGGTCATCCAGTCCAACCCTCTTCTTCCGGGTGAAATGATCTTCAGCTTTGAAGCACAGTTGTAGCTCCCATTTGTAAACAGTTCCAGAATCACAAGGATCACTTCCTACTCCAGATGCCGTCCAGCAGGCCCCCTCCTTTCTAACAGCTGCCATCTGTAATCCACATCCCTCCCCTCTCCAGGCTGTCTCACCCTGGCAGCACCTGCAGCCCAGGTCCTTGGAGAGTTCCTGGAGCAGCTGCCTTCATTCCTCCACTTGCCGGCAGAACAAAGTCTCACATGGCCATGACACGAGTGACCGAGTGACCCTCTCACTTCCCATCCTCCCCAACTCCCCCTGAGATGGAAGAAGATCAAGGAAGACGTTTCCAACAGGAATCATTTTCGCAACAAGCTTTTATTACCTTTTTTTTTTTTTTAAACCCATATAAGAAAGACATTGGAAAAGAAAATATCCTGAAAACAAACACACACGGAGCAACGCAACGGAGAAGGCACTACAGCAGCTGGAGCCGGCTGCTCTGGGAGGGGTTGGCTCGACCTCGGCTCGACCTCGGCACGGGCCTGGGGCTAACTGGACTTCAGAGGGAACTTCACACTTCCCCAACATTTTCTTACATCATAGATATCTTTATTTCTTTATATATAGTTATATGCCTTTATGTATATATGTACATGACCTTTTTTTTTTCCTTCTCAAAAATAAAATAGCCACCCCCGTGGAGGGGGTATCTCAGCAGCATTTACAGCGGTTGCAGCAGGGGCATGCCGTCTAGGAACCTTCGGACGTGCAGGATAAGGGGAGGGGGCTCTCTTTCCTATCTCCTCTTTGAAGATGGTAGAAGCGAGGGAGTTCTGAGACGAAGGGGCAATAAGGCCTGAGCAGGGGAGGGAAGGTCGCTGAGGTCTCGTGGTTTACAAACTTCTGCAGGGCTGCCAGCTCTGAAGACCTCAGAGTGGGCAATGATGAGTCAGCATTCCTCTTGGTGTCGGGGCATGGGCTCAGCAGGGGGCTCAGGGACTGGGGAAGCAGAGGACACAGCAAAGAAATGGCCTCAGAGGCCAGACTGGAAAAACCCACCTTGTTCTCAAAATGCAAGTCCTCCTTCCTCCACACCAGAGCATCTGCAGTGTGGGCTACTGGCTGGGATGGACTGAACCAACCCACGGAGCCAGAAGCGATGCACAGAGCCAGGACTCCAGTCCTCTCTTGTCATTCATCTGATGGCAGTGCTTCTTGGGAGTGACAGCTCAGGAACCTAGATGGGAAGGCAGTGAGGGACCTGCCCGTCCTAGTGAGCACGCCAGCAGTGGGTCTTGAAGCAAGCGCCCCTTCTGCTGTCTCTGAAAACAGAAAGGCACTGAGGTCGGTGGGGAGACCGGGCCTGCAGGCTCACAGAGCACAGTACTGGAAGCCAGCCCACGTGACGCAGCTTGGGCGACTGCATGTCATCCCGGCTGCACAACTCCCTCTGATGTCAGCTGCAGATCTGCCTGGCACCTGCAGATCCCAGAGTTCCAAGGAAGGAGAGAGGCAGTGCTGGAGGCCCTGGGGGTAACCGAGACAGCCCGGGCCTTCTGTTAGCTGGGGAAGGCAGAAGACAGCTTGCCCATAGTCCCCTGCAACTCCTAGTCTTCCTCTTGCAGCCTGACTTCCCTGCCATGGAGGAGACCGTAGTTGATCGCTGGTTTCTCCTGGATGGGAGCATAAAGCAGCTCTGGCAGTGTTCGAACTGATAACCAGAAAACAAGCTTGGACAGAGATGTGATGGCCACACACTCACAGATGCATGCCTTTGGGCTCCCACGCGCACAGTTTCTTGAGCATTGAGGTCCCATGGGGCCAGGGCAGGCTGCCACATCTTTGGAAATCTCTGAGCCCATCAGTTTTGGTGCTCCCAGCTCTCCCTGGTACCAGGGCGTGGGACCTTGCAGACCTTCCCTTGGGTGGGCAGGCTGGGGCATGCTCTTCCTTTCTGGGGTGCTTAATGCAAGGTGCCAAGGCACATGCTTTGTCTGCCTCATAAATAAAGGTGCTGTGGATGAGATGTAGGGCAGCTGAAGAATCAAAACCAGAGAGAGAGAAAAAAGAACAGCTTTTCCTTTCCTTTCCTTTGCCGGCTGGTTCTGGTGCCAGGTTCTGGTTTGATGACGAGAGAGGCAACAATTAGGCTTGTGGACGACTTGCAGGTTGGGAGAGGATGGCATTGTTGGTTTCACAGAGGTGACCCCTGGCAGAGCCTGTGGGGACCACGGGCAGGGGTTTATCCCCATGTAGACATTCTTCCATGGGAGAGACCTCCTGCCACATCTGCCACTGCTGGCCAGGCACGCATGTGTTCGCCAGAGGCATCCTGAGAACCAGTGTCCATTGCAAAATAATAATTAATAATAAAAATAAATCTGAGAGCACGGGCAGATGAGGCTGTGGGACCGGTTACCCAGGTTTGCCCTGGGATTTCCTTAAGGCCTCCTCCAGCTGCTGCCTAAACTTGTCATACTTCTTGTGCACCTGCTGGATTTTGTCCTGCTCCTCCTTTTCCAGGATCGTGAGGAAGTTCTGGAGCTCAGGGATCGAGAAGGCATCCCACTGTGAGGCAGGGAGAGACAGGAGAGACAGGTTAGAGGCTGCCTCCTCCTACACCCGGTGTACGCCAGTGCTGCACACACACTTGGCTACAGGGCAAGAGGGACAACGAATGGAGTTTCACTGTTATTTTTTTTTTTAATCTGTCATAGCAATAACACTGCAAATCCTGTCATCTTGTGGCCAAGTGTTATCTGTCCATGAACTGTGTTTGGATTTGGAGAGTCAACACTAAGTTTTCTCTGTAGCAACTGAGAGCTTTGACAATGCTGCTGGGAGCACCTCAGGTCTCAGCATGCAGGTGGTTGCAGGCCTGAGACACTTAGGCTTGAGCCTGACTCCATCTTGTCCCAGCTGCATGGTCTCAGGGCATCCTGCATCCCTCTTCATTTCCTCATTGTTCGCGGACTTAGCACACGCGCAAGGCTGGCAGAACACAGTTCTGGGAGAGGACTTGGGAGAGCCCGGAGAATTCAGGCCTGCCCAGAAGACCTGCCTTTAGCTAACCGCAGAACACAATCCCGCCATAGTCAGCAACTGAGACCCCCTAAGCTGGTGAGCAGTCAGGAGCATGGAGGCTTACCTGGCCTAACCTCCACCTTGGAGGGAAGGTGGCCGCAGCCCGAGAAGGACAAGTAGAACCAGGGTCTGCAGCCCCAAGCTCGGGAGCCCCATGGGCCAGCTCTGGTCAAGCACTGAAACCACGTGTCTGCAGACTTGGATCACAGAGCAGACAGAAGTAGAGCTGCCTGCTGGGAGGCGGGAGCAGGGACTAAGCCCCGCTGCCTGGATGTCCCAGATCTCCATGGTGACCCCCAAGACTGCTTCAAGCTTGGGGCACAAACCCCAGGACCCTTTCCAGCTCTCCCATGGCTCAAACTGACCTGATGCCATGAAACTGGATGTGGGTAGTTGTGCCTATGGGGTAAAGGGCAGGACTGAGGCACCACAAGAGAAAGGCTCAGAGGTGAAGCTTGCTGGGCTCCAGGCCATCCTGGGGCAAAACCTATACAGGGAGTTTTTCTACTTTGCCCAGCACAGGCCCCGACTTGCTGTACCTGGTGCTGACCATGCTGGCTTCAACCCCAAAGCTACAGCCCAGTGCTCACCCCAGCCCAACCCTTGCACTAGCCACTGGCCAGGTGCCATTGCCACGTGGCCCCACCAGGCTGGGTGGGGGTGGAGGAGAGCAGGTCCCACATCCGCCCAAGGGCCCAGGGGGCTAGGTCTGTGCAAGGAGCCCACACCTACCTCCACTTCTCCAGTTTCATTCTCCTTAAGCACGAAGCTGAGGACGTCAGTGTCAGGCCCAGCAAGCAGGCGCAGGTGGAGGGGGCAGTCAGCGATGGACAGTTTCTGCAACAGCACTGCAAACCAAGACAGGATGGAGGTGCATGAGAGAGGGCAGGCACTGAGCTCAGTAGAGATGGCCCGGGGTGAGTGGGGTGTGGGCAGGACTGGGAAGGTACAGTTGGGGCGCTTACATACAACTGGCAGCCGACACACAGCCTTGACCAGAATAACCAGTGTGAAGCCCTTTAATCTTGGGTGTCTGCCCTGAGTGTAAGGTGGTTTCCCTTCTCATCATCTCCCAAAGGACTAGGAGTGGTGGGGTGGTGCCCTCCCACCAGGATGACAGGAAATGGGCAGCCTGGGTGTGGCTTCCCTGAAGTCAAGCACAGTTAGGGACCCTGGGGAGGCGGGTGGCAGGCTGGAGCCCCTGCCCAGCTCTCTGCTCTCATCACCCCTCCACTGCCCAGAGTCCTTGAGTGGCTCCATCACAGGCCCTAAGGCCACTTGGGCCCCAGGGGAACAGGAGCTGTCACTTCCCCCGCTCCCAGCCAGGGTCAGAAGGGACCTTAGTGGTTGGAGTGGACAGAGACCCTCCCTGGTAGACAGCCCTCCTTCCTTCCTTGCTTCCCTCCCTCCTGTACCTTGTCCATCCTTGTGGATCCGCTTAAACAGGGCAAACTTCTGGGGGTTGTCCACGACCATGAACTTCTTGAGCAGCCCCTGGATGACCTCACTGACTGTGGTGGTGCTGCTGATGTGCAGCTGCTTGATGGCATCGAGCGGGAGGTAGAAAGACGTCCGCTTGTCCGTGGTGGCAGCCAGGTTCACCTCCTTGATGGCATCGTAGATGGACTGCGGCCGAATCCCCGCGGGCACTGTCACCGGCCGCCGGAGCTTCAGGTGCACCTTGATGAAGCCCGTGTAGGTGCCATCTTCGCTCTGCCAGCAAGGGAGGGGGAACAACACAGGGGATCCGTTCCAGCAATGCTCTCCACCTGCCCCTCTGGACCCCAGTCCTGGGCTCTACATCAGCTCTCCCACACTCCCTTGGCCAGACTCTGCTGCTTTCCTCCTGTCCTGGGGGAGCAGAACAGATGGAGATTCCCATCCCCACCATGGCTCAAGGGTGACCAGAGTAGACCTGGGGATTGCCACCCCTGCACCCCCAACCCTCCCAGGGCTCTGTCTGCTCCAAACCTCCCACGCAGCAGATCCAATGGCCTATTCTGAGGCCCTGTTCTGAGAGGCAGGACCCTTGGAGACCCTGCCTGCTCTGCTCCTCCTGTCTCCTTTCACCCCCTCCTCTCTACTACCCGGGAGATTCTGCAGAGCCTTTACCGCAGGTCGCCAGCAGGGGGAAGTGTTCACCCTTCTCCCCATCCACTGAGAACCAGGGCAGAGATCTTGGCCTGGGGCACTGCAGTCCGCACTACTCCAGGAAGCTCGTGGGAAGCTTTGTGGGGGGGCGGATCTGCCTCTCACCCCTAGATTCCCCTGTCCACGCCTCCAAGCCGCCTCCGGAGGGAGTTGCCTGCGGCGGCTTACCAGTTTCATGCCCAGGCAGTTCTTCTCCCGCGTGTTGTAGCTGTCAATCTTCTGCTTAATCTCCTGCAGTGTGGGCGGGTGCCGGGGCTCAGCTGCTGCTGGAGCTTTGCACACATTCTGGAACAGACCGGTAAGTATAGGTGAGTGCGTGCATCTAGGTGACCACTGGGGCAAGAAGGGACAGTGAGGGGTCAAATGCCAACTGTGCCACTGGGGGATGGATGGGGGGGGTGAGGGGAAGGGGCAACCTTTCCTTAGCCTCAATCTTCTTACCTGTGAAATGGAAACAGTCCTAGCCCTCAGGCTGGTGGCCAGACCCATGCAAAGGTGCCCAGGCACTGACTAGGAACCTGGAGGGCAGGGATACTAATGGGGGATGCATGGACATGCCTGAGAACCTGGCCCACCAGCCACAGGGGCAGCGTGCCCACCTGCTGCCAGCCCCAGCTGACAGGAGTGAGGAAGATTCTCCCAGACCCAGAGGACAAAGGCACATGGACACCTGCCCAGCCCCCACATCACTGACCACACTCTCCACGTGTGGCTGTGAAATTATCATGGGGCCCAGGGGGGTCCCGGTTGTGCAATGGGCTGTGCTGATGGAGGGTTATTTAGGGGGAAGGGGTGCAGCACGGACCGTACATGCCTCTCCATTAGTGCTCACAGACCAGACTCTACAGGAATTATCACTCCACTTCACAGGAAGGACCCTAAGCCTAGCAGGTGGGGCAGCACAGAATTCCTCTCAGGGTCCTAATGCCTTCCCTCCTGCAGGGAAAGGAACCACAGTAGAGGGGCCCGGCTGTGGTGATGGAATCACCAAGTGATGACCACTGGGGTCTGAGTGACCTCCTCCTTCAGCCAATTCTTTGTATTTCTCCCAAGGTCATCATCACCCATGCCCCATCTTCATGCCATCCTGGTGCATCTGGGAATATGGGCCTATGCTGGTCAGAACCCATGTGGGATCTCTCGGTAAAATGGGGTGCTCCCTTGCCAATAGGGAGACAGGCCCAGGGGGCCGGGGGAAGGCTCTGCCTCTGCTTGGCCCCATCCCATGAGTGTCTGGGTTTGCTTGGGGTTCCGAATGCCGCCGTGACATCACAGCATCACTCAGCTGCATGTAGCAGTGTGCCAGCTGTCCTGGCTTCCTGCAGCAGGCTTGGGGACATGGGACACTGCATGTGTGACATCATTCTCTCCCATCAAGGTCTGATCCCACGCAGTGATAAAATGTCAAGTTCCACTGTGGCCACAAGAAGCAGCTGTGGGCAGGTCTATGAGTGGCTACAGCCTCCCAGCCTCCCGACTCTCAGGGCAGGGGTCAGCCACCACCTGCCCTCTGTCCCTTACAGCCCATGTTCACCAGCTGCTGAGCCAGCCACTTTTACATCCGCCTTTTGCAAACTACCAATGTCACCCCTACTACCCACATTACACCATGGAGGCCCAGCAAGGTCAAGCCATACTGTGGGGTCACTGTCGGACAGTGCCTATAGACGGACAAGGACCTCATCTTTCCCAGCCTACCCTGCAGGTGCCTGGGATGTCCTCTGCTGAACAAAGCCACCCACTCCTCCCAAGACAATCACTGGGGTAGATGTATAGCTTTGCAGCTGTTGGCTTGTGAGACATCCAGACACACATCTGATCACTGGGTAGGTCTTGGAGGCCACCCTGTCCCCTGAGAACATGGCAACGAGGGACTTGTGGAAGCCAGAGCAGGATGTGGTTGCCAGGATGCAAGCTCAGCCCTTGCTGGGTGTGCACTCGGGGCTCTGGAATGGTCCTTAAGTCAGTTTAAGAGCACCCAGAGGGAAGCCACCCTGGGGACATTTCGCATTTGCTAGAGGTTAGCAGCATGGGCCTAAACCCCCAGCCTGTCTCAATCACGGCTGGTCCATTCCTCCGGTGAACCCTGGGCATGGAGCCCTAGCTTCAGTCTCCAGCGGTTGAGCTCACTTCCGTGGGACCAGCCCTGCCTCCCCTGGAGCAGCTACCAACCAGCAAGGTGAGTCCGTGCCCCATCCTTATTGGATGAGCCATCGTGTGCATCCTGGAGATTGTCTTGTACTCAGTCCAGTAGAAGAGTTGGGTGACTAGGTACTGGAAACTAGACTCTGCCATTTCCTACACACTAAGCTAGAATCTCAGGCCTGGTCTTACACAGCAAGAATCAGAGCAGCCTTAACCAAAGGTCTCCCCTTCTTCCTGTTCCCCTTCTCTTCAGCAGAGGAACCTGTCTCTTCTCTCCTGTTCCCACCACAGACCTGGGGAAGTGATGCAAATGGCTGTGGGCATGGCTGCCTTCCGGGACTGACGCAACAGATGGCAGCTGACCTCACTGTCCGAGCTCTGGCCCTTTGGGTGGGGAGAGCAAGCCCTCTGGCTGGGAACCGGGAGCCAGAGGCCAGTGTGTGGCCAACATGTGGATTTCACGCCTGCAGAATGCCAGCACTCAGGTCTGGCATGGCTGGTGCTTACACTGACTCTGGCAGGCAAGGCCTGACCTAGGGGCTGGATGAGTCACCCTGGAGCAGGCCAGCTGGTGGGCTCACAGCTGCGGCCAATGGCTTTCTAAGCCTTTTCCCACCTGAGAGTGTGCAGAATCCAGACCAGTGGCTCTTCATAAAGTTTTCAAAGTCATTTTTATTTATTTATTTTCATTGCATTTGAAAGTCAGGGAGACAGAGATCTCCCGTCCCTTGCTTGACTCCCCAAATGTTTGCAACAGCCAGGGCTGGGCCAGGTCAAATCTAGGAGCCTAGGACTCAATCCAGGGCTCCCTGGATGCTTGTTCCATCACCTGCTGCCTACCAGGGTGTGTGTTAACTGGAAGCTGCAGTCAGAAGCAGAGCCTGGACTCCAACCCAGGTCCTGACATGGGATGCAAGCACCTTCTGCAGCAGCTCACCAGCCACACTGCACGCCTGCCCCTAGCCTAATTCACTTGGCCACACAGCTGCCCTGGGCCTCATCCTCAGAGATGCCTGGGCTGTGGCCACTCCAATTCAGGTGACTCCAGACCCTGAGGTTCCCACCAGCTGCAGCTCAGCACTTGGACACCAACAGATAGAAACTGCCCCAGAGGTTTGTGTCCAGGGTGAGAATAAGATCAACAACACAGTCATCTTCAAAGGGTGAGGCAAAAACCCCAATGTCTATTCACCTGTTGGGCTCCCAAGTCCTCAAAGTCAAGACAGCATTTTGTTCCTTAGAGTGACCCTGGACAGGGACAAAATGGGGAGCTCTGCCGGGAGTTCACACAGACCTGGGCCTATGGGGGTGACCCCTGGGGTGCTCGCACATTTCAGAGCATCCGGTATGTAATCCATCCACTTGGATTTAGCGCCTGGGCACCAGTGGCAGATGGTCAGGCTGTTCCTCTTGCACTGGGCATGTCCAGGGCCCTGGGTGAAGAGATTTGTCTCCTGTCCTAAGCCACAGTAAAGGCTTTGCCTTCTTCTAGCTCTAGCGGTTACTGGGGTGACTAAAGGGGCTGGGGCGAGGGGTACAAGCAGACACACCCCCTCTGAACGATGTTCTCAGGCATCCATAAACATGCCTTCAGCAAGGTTGCCCCCTCCAAGCCCAGTGCCTGCCTCCCAGCAGATTTTTGAATAACAACACAACAGCAAAACATTGGCTCATCAGGGACAGGTGTAAGGACTTAGCTGTGGTCACAGGACAAGGACCTGATGCTCTGACAAGTTATCTCTGAGCAAGTCTTGCGACTTCTGTTGTCCTCAGGTGTCCTGCAGAAGCAGCAGGGTCCTCAGGGTGGACAGAGGCCGGGGACACTGCGTCCCACTCCCCATTCCACAGCTACTAATCACAGCCAGGCCTTCTTCCTGAATCAGTTGTATAAAACTTGTTTGTTGCTGAAAATTTCCCTCTCTTTCCTTTTAAATTTTCCAGTTTCCTCTCTTTTTTGCCCTCTGTGGTTTTTTTTTTTTTTTACCATATTAGCTCTTCTTGCCCAAAACGTTAAGTCCCACCATCTGTCAAGGCCTGTGTGACTGCCCCAACCCTGAAGATGAGAATGATGATAATGGTGGTGATGATAGTGATGATGGTAATGGTGATAAGGATGATGGTGATAAGGATGATGGTGGTAATGAGTCCTTCTTACAGCTTGTTATGTGCCATGCACTATTCTACTCAGCATACATTCACTCATTTCATCCTCAAAGCAAGTGTGAGGCAAATCACTTCCAGGCAAGGAACTGAGGCACAAGCCAGCTCAAGCTGACCTACCTCTGCAGCTAACACCACACAATCTGAAGTTTATTTCTACTTACAGTAACCTCCAAGTAGGCCATCCATCTAGATTTTTTTTCTTCAACCAGATTGAGGCTCGTGGGTGACCACTCCCCTGCTTCTCCCCCTTCTGTGTGCGCAGTAGCACTGAACGAGCAACAAAACACAAACACTTGCCCAGGAATCACCAATCGTCCCCTCATGCCTTTGGTAAAGGGAAAAAGCAGCCTTAGTTTCTCCCGGGAATTTCAATGTGCTAACCCTTGGGTTTTAATTTAGACTGAGTTCTGAGCAAGAAGCACCTACACGGCACGACTTAGCCCCAGGGGACACCTGCAGGACCTCCATAACATGTGACCTTGGGGAAGGTCAGATGACCTCCTTAAGCCTCAGAACCTTCATCTGTGAAGTGGGGATAATTTTTTTTTTAACTTTCTTGACTCACAGGACTGACACAAAAGTAGAATGACATGAGGTCATTGGTACCAATGTGCCAAAGGCATGTGCTGCTGCCATCCTCCCAATCAGCCCTACCTGCCTGAGCCAATCTCACTCCTCACGCTCCTTGTACACTTACTTGCCATCGGCCCCTGTACCCACAGAAGCCCTTCACTCCCTTCTCTACACAAGTGGCTGGCAAGCTTTCTCTGCAAAGGACCAGCTTGGGAATATTTTCGGCATTGCATGCATACACACTCTGCTGCTGTGGCTGCTCAACTGTGCCACAGTAGTCATGGCATGAACACAGCTGTGTTCCAATAAAGCTTTATTTAGGGACTCTGCCCCCTGGGCAGAGCTCGCCTCTGCACTGGAGTTTGTGTGCTTTCTTCTGTGGGGCACACACATCTCACCTCCCC